AATACATCTATCATCAAAAAATAAGTTAAATAAGCTTTGCCAGTGGCGTACGTCATGGGCCAGTAACATCTTTTTTCCTTCTAAATTTTTGTCCACTGTCCACTTTTGATGTTTTTTAAATAAAGTTGAGTTAGTTTTTGAGATATTCGCATATATTAGAAAATTCTGTAGTTTTTAAATTTCGATTTTTTTTTTATTAAATTTCTAAGAGTACATTATTTATTTTAAAAACATCAAAAAATTTAAAATTTTATGTCCAAATAACATTTTGGATAGTGACGTAAAATTTAAAAGGTATGCGGTATTACGTACGAATGCTGTACGCCACTGGAAAAGTTAATTAAGGTAACTAATTTTTTTGCTGATAGGTGGATAATTTGACACCAAAAACGTTTGCCAAATTTAGTAAAATTGTTGTGAGTAATAAAAAAAATAAAGCAATAAATATTTTTTGGATTTTAACACCTTAACTCGGTACCAAGAAACATTTTATCTAAGCATGATTTGTTTAGTTGTCTTATTTTTAATCAGAGAATCGTCAGTTGTTCTATATCCCATTCTTAACGAAACACTATGTATAGTATAAATGGTCCCTACGTAATGATACGAAGACCGTTGTCCTTTGTTGACTGGACACAAGAATGAACTACTAAACAGCGTTGGGTTTTTAGTAGCAACAGCTTGTACTGAAATTCAGATCGTGATTGTACCAGAACGTACTAGATTTTGCGATAAATTTCAAATGAGAACACAAACTCATTTTAAACCAAAAAATAAATAAAATGGGTATAACAAAAATATATTCTTACGTTGGTAAATAAAAAATTTAAAAAGAAACCAAAATAAACTTTATTTTAAACAAAAAAATATAAATTAAAATACGTAAAACAAAAATATATTTTTATATGGTTAAATAATAAAATTTAAAAATAAAAACAAACACTTATTTTTTATAGAAAAACAAATAAAATAAGGGTAAAAATTAAAAAATATTTGTTATGTCAATAGATTTACAATAATTAATCTATAATAGACTGTAAGTGTAGTATTCTTTTTAATAAATAATTTACCGTAATTAACAATGTTTAAATTTATTTACTAGAACATGAAAGTGTAGTCGATATTTATCAGGTTTTTAAATTTCCCGCTGGGTTATTTGTTTGATATCGATGATAGCGACACATAGTGGGCCAGATGTTAACTGCGTTCGAGCTGGTGGTTGTTAAGCATATGCTTAGGAGCGTATCTTATATATATGTCCCTTATATGAAGACTCATACTCCCTTATCTCTTACCCCTTATTTTCAAAGTATGGGAGCACTCATTTCTCTCAAGATTCTCATCAGAAATGTCGTACGTCAATGTGGAAACGCTGTTTTAAAGGCCTCGAGGATTAAAATTCTTACGAGAATTTGAGTTCACACTGGCCCCAAGGGCCCTAAAAATACTGTTTTACGTTGACATATTATGACATTTCTCTTGAGAGGAATGACTTTTCTCGAGTTTGGAAATAGCCTCCCTGGTATAAAGTATCGCATTGGGAGTATCAGAAGTATCTACTGTCTACCATAGAAATTGGAAATCATAGAATACATTATTCTAGAAGATCCAGCGAAATATTTAAAATGTACTAGATTTAGATACTTTTGTCTTTTGTGGTACTAGCATTTATGAATGGTTGAAATGTACTGAATCTAGTACAATTGTACTAATAAACCCAACGCTGCTACTAAATAAATATACCGACGTGCCGAATCTAATGCAAAAGTTTTATTTTTATTCCTGTTTCATCGAAAATATTTGTCAAGGTCAAGAACTCGTTTAGTTATTATCGCGTAGTAGCTAGGGGTGATGAATTTGTTAGGTATTTTATAACAGTTACCGTTTAGAACTAATAAAATTATTACGCCATCTGTTGAACAAAAGAACTATTAAATATGGAATATTGCTCCATCTGCTGAACAAAAGGATTCTTAATTTATGACACATAAATGACATCTATCAAAATTAGTTCATGTTACGAATATTGGGGGTGGTACTGTGGTCTTAAACATTTTTTTTATTATTGAAAAAATTGAAAACCTTGGCGTAATGAGTTTGGTTACATGCCATATTAAGTAAGTTATGGAAAATTAAATGTTTAATTTGTTTTAAATCTGTTAAATATAATTAAAAAAATTATTTAAATTTAAATATTGCGAAAAATAGCACATCTTTCGGATTAGAGGTAAAATAATTTATATGTGGCTAGTAAAATCCTCGTTAACAAATGTTTTGAGCTAAAACAGTCACTTCACGACAAATTGTGGCTTGGATCCTTTTTACACCAAGGGCTTCAATTGTTAAAGAATTGTGTCACGCTCGTGGATGCAAATCAAGTGGTACCCCGTGTCTCTGGCAAGTGTTACTATTCGCGCAAAGGGTTTATACCTAGATAAACGAATGCTTCGACTGAGGTCTGGGAACTCTATGGTATTTTGGAATTATAAAGAATTTGTGCTTTTATTTTAACAATATTGGTTATATTTAGATGTATTCTTATTAATTGAAATACAGATTTGTAAAAGTAATACATTGACAATATTTATTAATATAATATATTCAATTTTTATCTGACCATACCGAAGTAGGGAATTTTGAAATTTTATAGTAATGTGAAATTTGAATTACAATATTACACGATATTACATAATTAGTACTTATTTTAGGTAGGTACTAAATTTGTACTTGGAGAAAGTAATATCGATTTTTACAAGAAAACTTGAAAAGTAAATTAATTTAGTTCCTATTTCTGATGTAAAACTTAAACCAAGAAAACAAATAAATTGTAGTTTGTTCAACAAGGGTGGATATGATAGCCATATTACACAAAGACGAAGTTTGAGCACGACGTCGTAGGCGGAGTACTCAATCGTCTGATTGTGATATGAACAATCCACTCGATATGGTCAGTATATTTTTTCTACGATGCACTAACGAAAATCTACAAATTTAAAAAATTATTTTAGGTTATTTAGACAAAATAACTAATTTTAAAATAATTTACGAAGTTGACTAATTTATAAAATAAAATAAACATGAAAAATTAATTAGTCCTCGGCCTAGATTCGATCCCGGGCTTTTCGCGTGGAAGGCAGATGCTCTGTCCTCATCTTCACCGAAACTTTCGGGACTTTAGTTTTAATACTCGTAATTAAATTAGTATCATGTAGTTTGATTAAAATTTATTTTTTTTGAATGTGGACACAATAAAAACAAAAATGCTATTATTTATCGAGTCTACACAAAAATTTTAATGTATATTTAATACCAATAACTAAAATATATATTGACAATTAGTTTAACAGAATTGTCACTTATTTAAAAATTTTTAAATAATAGGAGTTGGGTGACCAAAATATGAACTGTGATTTGTAGATTTAATTTTGTTAAAGTGTTCTCACTACCTAAAATGGATATGAAATATATTCGTAGTTGAACGCAATAACATACTTTTTCGTTTTGTAGTATGTGCGTAGATTGGCTAATATCCATGCACAGATTACAAAACGAAAAAGTATGCTATTGCCTTCAATTGAACGAATATATTTCATATCCATTCTAGGTAGTGAGAACACTGCAAAAAAAATAAATTCGCCAATCACCGTTCATATTTTAATCAACCGACTGCTATTATTTTTAAAATTTTAAATAAATGACAATTCTGTCAAACTAATTGTCAGTATATTTTTTAGTTATTGAGATTAAACATACAATAAAATAAGTTATTCTTTTGGAAAACGTTAGCATGGATGACTAAAGGGTATTGGGTTAATTAATTCTAAAAGTGTGGTACAAATGTTATTTTTTGTAGCCAATTCTTCAAAATTATTTTGAAATATCTTTTCAATATTGAATATTAGTTCTACAAATTCATCATTTGACAGTTGCAGATTTCCAAATGTATCTGAATTGGCGTTATCATATGCTTTTAGAAAGCAATAAAAAGAAAAATCATCTAATTCAACGTGATCTTTGTTATATTTAAGACAGGTATCGCAGGAGTGGGTCCGCAAGGCTTTTGTTAAAAGGTAACCACACACTTACCTGATAAAATTTTTCTGTAGCAATTCGTCTTTACAATAATTTAGGGTGTTAATAATTTCATCATAAAATAAAATACAAGGTGTTCCATTTAAAAAACATACATTTTAATTTGCCAGGCAAAAACGTGACACCCTGTATATCCAAAGATATTTTTAAAATATGTAGGTATTTTTCAAATTCATATAACTTTTATTTAAAACATTCTTGCGTGTCTACAACAAAATAATGAACAATAACGCACTAATGGGACACCCTGTATAAATTATATTTTTAACAATGAAAATTTTTTATAATGTGGTACTTATCGGTTTGGGTCCTTGGGAAAACTAAAGAATGTTTTTTTGCAGATATAACCCTTATTAAAACAGATTTTGACTGCACAAACAGAATGATGTCTTTTTTTTAATTATTCTACTCATAGCTAAAGAGTCACCAAAATAATAACAGTACCTTTAACTCAAACAAAATCAACGAAATTATAGGCTCCACGAAATTATACAATCAACGAAATTATACGCACGACTCAACAACTTACCTAAGTACGATTCTGAACGCCAAAACCGTCTTTTCCCTTCGAAGGCGGAGCTTAAGCGATGCGCGACGAAATCGAAGCAAACCGTTGCCGCCAAGAGTGTGTTTTAGCTGTATTGTATAAGCTGTGAAATTACTTCGAATTTCACAAAGGGGCGAGAGGTAATTTAAACATGCTTTTGATAATTCGAGAAGAGATCAGGAGGTGAGCAGTTACAATATGAACAAAAATACGTCGCCCTTTATAAGATTTTTGCCTCATCTATAAAATTATTTAGGGTGGATATTTTCTTTATTTTTTGTACGCCGCTGAATATTAAAGATTTAAAATTATTTAAAAATGTAGAGGTGGTACTTATATATACGCATGATTACTTAAAAAACCTTGATATACTTAGCGCTTCTCATTATTAGGCAATATGATTGGTACAATCACAATCATTTTTTGCGCGGTGCCACTTTTGGTGATAATTTTAATTATAGTCCTTCATAAAAAGTTCGTTAAACGCCAATCAAAATATCTGAAACATGTACCAGGACCTAAACCTAATCCTCTTTTTGGGAACATGTTGGATTTTGCTGTGCCTTCGCATCGTAAGTAAATACTTTTTTGTTATGTCTCTTTGAAAACACAATGTTTACATGTTTTTGATAAAAGAAAGTGGTATTTTTTTGTGCGACTGCACCGAAAAAACCCAATAACTATTGTAAGAAATAATAAATATGTTCGTTTGTGTCCAACGTATTTGGCATAATAATTTGTCTCATTAATTAATTTTTTTAAAGAGTTATTTTTTGACACTATATATCAACATATTTATGATTTCAATACCTACTCTTATAATACAGTCTTTTTACTTTGTAACTATAAGAATAAATAACAAACAAACGGTTAAAGAAAATTGTTTTCTTTTGGCAATAGAAGTATTTGATTTTACAGAGTGGTCGAGGATTTTACCAGCCAAAAGATTATCAAAAAATAAAGTTAGTTTATCTGATAAAACTTAGTCCCACTTTGGTTCCGTTTTTATACCTATACAGAATTTTTATTAATTTTTATTAATTTTCATTAATTTTTATTAATTTTTATTAATTTTTATTAATTTTTATTAATTTTTATTAATTTTTATTAATTTTTATTAATTTTTATTAATTTTTATTAATTTTTATTAATTTTTATTAATTTTTATTAATTTTTATTAATTTTTATTAATTTTTATTAATTTTTATAAATTTTTATAAATTTTTATAAATTTTTATAAATTTTTATAAACTTTTATAAATTTTTATAAATTTTTATTAATTTTTATTAATTTTTATTAATTTTTATTAATTTTTATTAATTTTTATTAATTTTTATTAATTTTTATTAATTTTTATTAATTTTTATTAATTTTTATTAATTTTTATTAATTTTTATTAATTTTTATTAATTTTTATTAATTTTTATTAATTTTTATTAATTTCTATTAATTTTTATTAATTTTTATTAATTTTTATTAATTTTTATTAATTTTTATTAATTTTTATTAATTTTTATTAATTTTTATTAATTTTTATTAATTTTTATTAATTTTTATTAATGTTTATTAATTTTTATTAATTAATTTTTATTAATTAATTTTTATTAATTAATTTTTATTCATTTTTATTAATTTTTTTTAATTTTTATTAATTTTTATTAATTTTTATTAATTTTTATTAATTTTTATTAATTTTTATTAATTTTTATTAATTTTTATTAATTTTTATTAATTTTTATTAATTTTTATTAATTTTTATTAATTTTTATTAATTTTTATTTGTATGGATTCCCTCTTAAATAATAACTGCTTTTTTTTCCATCAAACACTTTTATTTTATATCTAAAGCTCGGATTTATAGGCAAAAAAAAATGAAGGAAAAGGCGCCTATATAGGCAAAAAAATTTATTGAAAAAGGCAGAAATCTGATCAAATAGGAAACATATAGGCAAATGCCTTTAAATCCATAATTTTTAATAATAACTTATTTTTTTATTATACAAAGTGACTTAACACAAAAAATATATTTACACAACATAATAACTAAATAATTGTTAAATAATAATTAAACATTGTAACCACTTAAAATTTTATCATTAATAGCTACAAATAAGTGCTTTTCTATATTTTTTATTTATTATTTTAGTCCTAAATAGCTTTGTCGTCTATCACTTAAATTAATTTGTACATTGAAAATGAACGCTCTACTTCAACAGATGTAATTGGAGCATATTTAAGAGCGGATAATAAATCTGGCTGAATTTGTAGTTCTTCGGAAAATGTTTCATTCAAAATTTTTGCAACATTAGACAGAAACGAGAAACCTTCATTCTTGTCAAAAACATCTTTAATTTTTTTAAAAATTAATTGACCATTACTTCCAGGTGCTGACTTAATTTTTGACTTTAAGACCACAGTACCACCCCCAATATTCGTAACATGAACTAATTTTGATAGATGTCATTTATGTGTCATAAATTAAGAATCCTTTTGTTCAGCAGATGGAGCAATATTCCATATTTAATAGTTCTTTTGTTCAACAGATGGCGTAATAATTTTATTAGTTCTAAACGGTAACTGTTATAAAATACCTAACAAATTCATCACCCCTAGCTACTACGCGATAATAACTAAACGAGTTCTTGACCTTGACAAATATTTTCGATGAAACAGGTATAAAAATAAAACTTTTGCATTAGATTCAGCACGTCGGTATATTTATTTAGTAGCAGCGTTGGGTTTATTAGTACAATTGTACTAGATTCAGTACATTTCAACCATTCATAAATGCTAGTACCACAAAAGACAAAAGTATCTAAATCTAGTACATTTTAAATATTTCGCTGGATCTTCTAGAATAATGTATTCTATGATTTCCAATTTCTATGGTAGACAGTAGATACTTCTGATACTCCCAATGCGATACTTTATACCAGGGAGGCTATTTTCAAACTCGAGAAAAGTCATTCCTCTCAAGAGAAATGTCATAATATGTCAACGTAAAACAGTATTTTTAGGGCCCTTGGGGCCAGTGTGAACTCAAATTCTCGTAAGAATTTTAATCCTCGAGGCCTTTAAAACAGCGTTTCCACATTGACGTACGACATTTCTGATGAGAATCTTGAGAGAAATGAGTGCTCCCATACTTTGAAAATAAGGGGTAAGAGATAAGGGAGTATGAGTCTTCATATAAGGGACATAGATATAAGATACGCTCCTAAGCATATGCTTAACAACCACCAGCTCGAACGCAGTTAACATCTGGCCCACTATGTGTCGCTATCATCGATATCAAACAAATAACCCAGCGGGAAATTTAAAAACCTGATAAATATCGACTACACTTTCATGTTCTAGTAAATAAATTTAAACATTGTTAATTACGGTAAATTATTTATTAAAAAGAATACTACACTTACAGTCTATTATAGATTAATTATTGTAAATCTATTGACATAACAAATATTTTTTAATTTTTACCCTTATTTTATTTGTTTTTCTATAAAAAATAAGTGTTTGTTTTTATTTTTAAATTTTATTATTTAACCATATAAAAATATATTTTTGTTTTACGTATTTTAATTTATATTTTTTTGTTTAAAATAAAGTTTATTTTGGTTTCTTTTTAAATTTTTTATTTACCAACGTAAGAATATATTTTTGTTATACCAATTTTATTTATTTTTTGGTTTAAAATGAGTTTGTGTTCTCATTTGAAATTTATCGCAAAATCTAGTACGTTCTGGTACAATCACGATCTGAATTTCAGTACAAGCTGTTGCTACTAAAAACCCAACGCTGTTTAGTAGTTCATTCTTGTGTCCAGTCAACAAAGGACAACGGTCTTCGTATCATTACGTAGGGACCATTTATACTATACATAGTGTTTCGTTAAGAATGGGATATAGAACAACTGACGATTCTCTGATTAAAAATAAGACAACTAAACAAATCATGCTTAGATAAAATGTTTCTTGGTACCGAGTTAAGGTGTTAAAATCCAAAAAATATTTATTGCTTTATTTTTTTTATACTCACAACAATTTTACTAAATTTGGCAAACGTTTTTGGTGTCAAATTATCCACCTATCAGCAAAAAAATAAGTTACCTTAATTAACTTTTCCAGTGGCGTACAGCATTCGTACGTAATACCGCATACCTCTTAAATTTTACGTCACTATCCAAAATGTTATTTGGACATAAAATTTTAAATTTTTTGATGTTTTTAAAATAAATAATGTACTCTTAGAAATTTAATAAAAAAAAAATCGAAATTTAAAAACTACAGAATTTTCTAATATGTGCGAATATCTCAAAAACTAACTCAACTTTATTTAAAAAACATCAAAAGTGGACAGTGGACTAAAATTTAGAAGGAAAAAAGATGTTACTGGCCCATGACGTACGCCACTGGCAAAGCTTATTTAACTTATTTTTTGATGATAGATGTATTTTATTACACCAATAACGTTTGCCGAATTTAGTAAAATTAAACTGAGTAATAAAAAAATTGTAGCTATTTATAATTTTTTATTTTCAACTTTAAAACTCTGTTTTTCGGAAACAAGTAATGTTTTACCTACGGATGTTTCGTTTAATCGGCTTATTTCTAATCAATTAATCTTCAGTTGCTCCCATTCTTAATGGAATACCATGTATATACCGAAAGGTCTTACAGCCAAAGAACCAAATAAAAAAAGAAAAATGTACCTTATTTACCAACAATACTTTATTTAGATCTGCATCAGTAAAAAATATTTTCAAAAAATTTAATCTCATTTATATGTAAGTTGGCGTCATCGGCATACGGAAAACCTTTTTAAGAATTTAAAAAAAAAAACTTATTTTTCATAAACAATTGCATGGTCTATTAATTTTAGAAAAAAAGTTACTTTACATAAAAAGTTATGCATGGTCTAAAACCTAAATTTCAATTATCTGATATCAAATTTTATCAGTCGTATACAGGGTTTGTCGAAAATAAAGGTATTTTATCTTGAGAGCAAAATTATATTTTTTGACAAACCTTGTAAAACCGACTGATAAAATTTGCTATCGGGTGGTTGCATTTTCTGTTAGACCATGCATAAATTTTTATGAAGAATAACTTTTTTTCGTAAAATAAATAATAAAAAAGTTTTCCATTTGTTATCAACTTACATGGACCTACTGTGTGTATGCAACTCATGACATATTGCTGAGATAATGTTTTTGTAAGAAAAAAGAAATTAATCATAAAATTTTACTTCATTTGTAGAGTCGTAATTTATGTTTTCATATTTCTACTTTTTTTGTCAATTTAGAATTCCAGTACTATTTTCAATTATAAATAAAAATTACGTATTTTAGATTAATCAATAAGAAAAATAAGGATTTTTGAAATAATAATAACTAAATACAAATTAAACAACAAATTAATAAAAAAGCATTTAAAACACGTTGACTGCCGAAGCAAATGTTGTGGTTGGGTCTTAGTAAACTACAATATCTAATAGACGCATGAATAAAATATATAAACGCGGCGCGAGATTAAATTATTACAAACATAGGTCGCGTGCATATATTGTGAA